ACCTCTTGGGAAACAGCTAATTCCTAAAGGTTATGTGCCCACAAAATGACATTGTTGTTGGGAGGAAGGGTTTCTGGCCATTGCAAAGCAGAGCTTGACCAGAATGCTTGCCTAGATGAGTAAAAATTGACGCTAATTCCCTCAAACATGTCCTTCCACTGTGACTTACAATTGGCTATACCAGTATAGACTGAAAGTACTGGCATAAACAGCTGCAGTGATGGAATTAGAGAAGCACCAGTAAAGAATATGACTAATACTGCACAGATTTCACAGATGATAGAGTTGTGTGATTTTTTGTTTTGTTTTAATGTACGACTTGCAATGTACCAAATACAAAAAAAAAAAAACTTCTGAGCATATGGTTTTCCCCATGATCTTTAATGCAGGACTAAAGTTTATCATTTTGTTGGTGTACAGTAGATCACAGACTTGAGATCAAAATGGAAAATTAATTTATTTGACTTAACCTTCCTATAAAAAGAAAAAAAAATCTCAACTATTTGTGAGGAGGGAGAGAGACAAATAAATAAATACTAACTAACTATTAAAAATAAATACAAAAAAATATTAAAATCCCTACAAAATTGTTTGAAGTTATTTAAGGCAGGAAGTTATCATGGTGATGTGTGTTAACAGCTAGATAGATAAACGTGCCAGTTTCCAGAACCTCTGGTAGGCCATGGACCACTGGAGAGTCAAGCCAGTGACAGAGTGAAACTGGCACAGAGATCAAAGTAGCTTCATGTAAGAAGGTGAAATAGCAGCATGAGACTGATCACTTTAGGAGATGAGAGGGAAAGATTAAGATGATGACAAGTGATCATGTTTGGAAGAAATCAGAGAGATCTCCAACCCGTAGGTAAAGAGAAAGAGAGAGAAGGAAGCAGACCTTTGTGGAGTTAATCCACTCCTATCCATCAGGATTGGTGTTGCCTGCTGGACAAGATCATAGCTACTTCTCTTTGAACATAAAATAATCAATATTAAAAACTAAGTAAAACTCTGGGGAAAATGCTAAAATATAAAACATTGAAGGAGATTTTGAAAAAGCACAAATGACATTTGACTTTCAGCTAAGTGCCCAATGGCTACATGTGCCTTTGAAACAATAGATCTCTTACAGTTCCTGCTGAGTAAGGACAACAGGGGAGATTTTCAAACTACTGCAGAGACAGTGAAAGAAAGAAAATACACATACCTCTGCATCATTTTTATGTACTGATGTATTAAATCCATCCAGTTTATTCTTTAAATCTAGAAGTGGGAGGGAAAAGAATTGTACCACTATGATACATCATGTACAGCTGAACAACAGTATAAGTCTCAGACATGTTACAATTTTGGTCCTACTCACAGAGATTAGATGGATGGATAACAAATACTGAAAGGTATTCTCTTTCTTTGTGATTCCTTCTAAACAGTGTTTCTACTATTCAAAATTAGATAATAATAGAATTATTTGAGTTGGAAGGGACCTCAAGTAGATGATCTAATCAGGCTTTTGAAAAAAATCCTCCCCCACTCAAAAGGAGCTCATAAAGCTGTCATGGGTTCCTTGCCTTCCCCGAGGGCAGGGAAGGGAAAGAGAAGGGTTTGGGGTGGGAGTGCGCACACATTGAAGAAAATCACAACAATCCTTCATCTAATACATTCAGCTGCATAACGGAAGGATGTGTTATATTATTTCTAAATGCCCATCTATTAAGGACAGTTTAGTCTGGGATGGTCCCTTCTTGTGTATTTTTGAAGTAAATTGTTTTGTCATTTTTTCACACTTACTTTTGTGGATATTTTCAGTTTCATTTTAAAGTTCTCTGTTTCTCTTCTTCTATATCCATTTTCTATTACCTTAAACTCGCATGTCTGTAGTCTCTCTGACAAGATTTTTTTTTGCACTTAATGGCCAGAATTTTCAGAAGTGACTAGTGATTTTTGGAAGCCTCAATGTGAGACACCTTAGACTTTCAGAGAGTGGGCATTTGGCACTTTCTGAAAGTCAGGATAATTAAAGATAACACAAGTTGGGCACACAAAGATTGGTGTACTGAAATCACTAGTCACTGAAATCTTGGCCACTATGTTTACATGTGTTCTTGCCCTTCTCAGTCTGTAAACTGTTGTAGGAGAGATTTTTATTTGTCTCATTTCATTTTTTTTTCTTCCTATTCTCCACAATGTGGGAAAAACACTATGGTTTACCCATTGCACAGGATTCTCATGATTTCACCAGGAGAGTTAGAGGTATACAAAGTAATCTGTTTCTTGAACACTTTTGGTGGACTACTGTACCTTATAAATTATCATCTCCAGTTCCAATACTACCATAATCTTATTATGTGGCATTTTCATTTCATTCTTGTGAAATTTTAAGCCCCTTGCCATTTTTTTCTTAACATAAATTTTTATTACAAGATTTACCCTTTTCCGCACAATTTTACCCAATCATAGCATCTCAAATTATTAAACAAAAATACCATTCAGAAGTTCCTTGACGAGCTCAACCGCTGATTCAGCTACCAAAGGCTCAGGCCATTCAGTCACGCCAGTCTTCAAGCCTTCAGCCAAAACCTAACAGCATAAAAAAATCCAGAGACACTTATTTTGTTTGAGGTTCTGCATATAACATAGAACATAAAAGTGTATTAAACTTGAAAAAAAAAAAATTACCCACTGTATGAAAATTCCACCAAGAAATATATATGGTATGCAATACTGCCAAGCTGAAGTTGTATTAGAAATGTTTAGAATGTTCTGATTTGTGTGTTCTTTATTTCTCAACCTTAACACTGCGTTAAAAGTTATTTTGCACTTAATATATTCATGTAATTTCAAAGACCCTTTTAAACAGCTACAGAGATTCTAAATAAGAACACTATTGAATTGTGGAGGTAAATGCGTGGTTGCGCAGGTGGTGTCAGAGAGAGGGCTTTGGATTCTTCGACCATGGGATGTTGTTCCAGGAAGAAGGGATCCACCTAATGAAGAGAGGGAAGAGCATCTTCGCAGGCAGGCTGGCTAACCTAGTGAGAAGGCTTTAAATTAGATTCATCGGGGGATGGAGACCTAAGCCCTGAGGCAAGTGGAATACCGGGAGGAAACACAAGGAGGAAGGTGCAACAGAGGGAGGCCTCCTGATTCACACTGAGAAAGTAGGGCAATCAGCTAGTTATCTTAGGTGCCTGTACACAAACGCAAGAAGCCTGGGAAACAAGCAGGAAGAATTGGAAGTCCTGGAACAGTCAAGGAACTATGATGTGACTGGAATAACAGAGACTTGGTGGGGTAACTCACATGACTGGAGCACAGTCATGGATGAGTATAAACTGTTCAGGAAGGACAGGCGTGGGAGAAAAGGTGGAGTTCCATTGTATGTAAGAAAGTGGTATGATTGCTCAGAGCTCTAGTATGAAACTGGAGAAAAGCCTGTTCAGAGTCTTTGGGTTAAGTTTAGAGGCGAGAGCAACAAGTTTGATGTCGTGGTGGGCGTCCGCTACAGACCACCAGACCTTGACTTTAGCAAACCTTTTGATACAGTCTCCCACAGTATTCTTGCCAGCAAGTTAAAAAAGTGTGGATTGGATGAATGGACTATAAAGGTGGATAGAAAGCTGACTAGATCATCTGGCTCAACGGGTAGTGATCAACGGCTTGATGTCTACTTGGCAGCCAGTATCAAACGGAGTGCCCCAGGGATAGGTCCTGGGGCTGGTTTTATTCAAAATTTTAATTATCTGGATGATGGGATGGATTGCACCCTCAGCAAGTTCACAGATGACACTAAAGTGGGGGGAAAGGTAGACACACTGGAGAGTAGGGATAGGGTTCAGAGTGACCTAGACAAATTGGAGGATTGGGCCAAAAGAAATCTGATGAGGTTCAACAAGGATAAGTGCAAAGTCCTGCACTTAGGACGGAAGAATCCCATGCACTGCTACAGGCTGGGGACCGACTGGCTAAGCGGTAGTTCTGCAGAAAAGGACCTGGGGATTACAGTGGACGAGAAGCTGGATATGAGTCAACAGTGTCCCCTTGTTGCCAAGAAGGCTAACTGGGCTGCATTAGTAGGAGCATTGCCAGCAGATCGAGGAAAGTGATTATTCTCCTCTATTTGGCACTTGTGAGGCCACATCTGGAGTATTGTGTCCAGTTTTGCGTGATCCACTACAGAAAGAATGTGGGCAAATTGGAGAGAGTCCAGCGGAGGGAAACGAAAACAATTAGGGAGCTGGGGCACATGACTTATGAGGAGAGGCTGAGAGAACTGGGCTTATTTAGTCTGCAGAAGAGTGAGGAGGGATTTGATAGCAGCCTTCAACTACCTGAAGGGGGGTTCCAAAGAGGATGGAGCTCGGCTGTTCTCAGTGGTGGCAGATGACAGAACAAGGAGCAATGGTCTCAAGTTGCAGTGGGGGAGGTCTAGGTTGGATATTAGGAAATGCTATTTCACTAGGAGGGGGTTAAGCACTGGAATGGGTTACCTAGGGAGGTGCTGGAATGTCCATCCTTAGAGGTTTTTAAGGCCCGGCTTGACAAAGCCCTGGCTAGGATGATTTAGTTGGGGTTGGTCCTGCTTTGAGCAGGGGGTTGGAGTAGATGACCTTCTCTGATTCTATGAACACAAAAAACGTAAAAATACCATTCCTGGTATAACGACAACCAAACTGATATCAATTGGGAATTTCACATTTATACTTACAAGGAGAAACTGCAATTCTCTATGTAACTGGAACACAGGACTCCTGGGGTCCCCAGATTCCAATCTAATGTTCTGAAAATTCCAAAATACACATCAGATTCTGACTCTGGAATAAAAATTTGCTAAAACCTTATTAACAGAACGGATTAACTAATTATTATGGATATTATCAACACACTATATTGCTACTGCAACAATAATATAACCAGCAAAAATTAGCATATTTTCTGTGATCTACAATACTTGATATAAACAATGGCAAGGGTTTTTCTCCTACCAATGTCGCCGCTGCAGTGAGTGGAGGTGTCTGCAGAATCGTATCCACAATATTCCAAGTAATATCAACATATATATTACTCTCTGATTCAACCACTGTATCCTCCAATGTAGTGGCTCGAATGAGCTCATATTGAGCAAAGCCTTTGGTTGTCACCTAGAATGAATATATTTTAAATAGACATTTACAACTGAAATCTACCATTCTAAGGATTATTTTCAAAAGAATGTTCTGGGATACTTCCTGAAGCCCGCAAAAGAGCCCTAAAATGCCAAATCAATGTAGTACTGGAAAGGTGTTCCACTAATCAAACATTTTTAAGAGAACTTTAAAAATAAAACTTGGCTATTGTCAGAGAAACATACTGCAATGTAGCACATCCAAAAGTTAGGTACCATGTGTGGTACCTTGCTTCCCAGATTAGCAGGAGCTCACAGTGCTACAGATCAAGATATAAACACCAGCCATAAAGCTAACAAAAAAGTCCCACAAATCAACAAATATACTAAGAATCTTACAACTTAAATTCATAAACTAAAATAATTATATTTACAATATTTTGAAGGGTGGGAAAGCATGAAAAACCTACAATAGATGAGCGATGTCTGATTTTGTGTGTCTTTTTGAGGTCTTCTAGATTTGCAAAACAGGTTTTATCAGCTGTAGGACCTGGGAAAGGAAGAGAGGCTTTCAGAAAATGCTAACCACAAATTGAATTTAGCACTCAGATGTAATTATTAAGTGGTCAAAATGGAAAAAATAAGTGGTGGTATTCTCCCAAGATCCACTCACAATGCAAATTCTGCTCGCTTGTGACACCAAAATGAGCTGCCATTCACAGTAAAGCTATTCTTCAAAATACAATCATCCCTCTATTGTTTTTGTACAATTAGCAGTGCAACTTAACGGCATTTTTAAATGTTTAGTAGGGTTCAGTTACTATATATCAGTGAGATGAATGGGAGCAATTCTCACTTCTCTAAAAGTTAGTAGGTCAGACTGTCTGAAGAGCTGTCTGGACATCACTGCATGGATTGCATTCCATTCACACTTTGAAGGTTATTTTTGATACAACTTGGGCTAGAGACAATTATTTTAAAATGAAAATTTAGATTATAGAGCACAAGTGGACAACTATCATGGCAATATAGGTTGTTACCGTATTAACTCTCACTTATTTCTTGTCCTCCCCACTTTCAACTTTGGTGAAGGGCTGACTGTGTAACATCATAGCTAGGAGGAACTTACCATTACATGTAACTATATGGAAACTGATCCCTGTGATTTTGTTCCCATTTTTGAGAGGCTCAGCACCTAGCCAACAGGTATGTTCAGGGTCAGAGCGGTCACATCTTACCCACAGGGGAGGAAGCACAACTGGTTTGCTTATCTTCAAATGGGTCATGTTTGGATTTTGTGCCATTGTATAGAGTGAAATCAGTTGCCTGGAAAGAAAAGAACAATCATTAACAAAATTTAGCATGATTTTAGCTAACCCCTCTCTGTTTACGCTACTTCAAAATCTAGTGCAGGGATCGGCAACCTTTGGCACAAGGCCCGCCAGGGTAAGCCCCCAGCAGGCCGGGCCAGTGTGTTTACCTCCCACGTCTGCAGGTTAGGCCGATCGTGGCTCCCACTGGCCACAGTTCGCCGTTCCAGGCCAATGGGGGCTGCGGGAAGCGGTGGCCAGCACATCCCTCAGCCTACACCGCTTCCCGCAGCCCCCATTGGCCTGGAACGGCGAACTGCGGCCAGTGGGAGCCACGATCGGCCAAACCTGCCAAAGGTTGCTGTCTCACGTTTGAATAGTTGTTGTTCTCTTAACAATAATGAGGATAACATCAAAAGTATGAAATATCTAGATTTCTCCTTCTAGATTACTGTCTACACGGTTTGAGGAAAATATATACGTAATACACACAAAATTCCATTTGCTTTGCAAATTCCTATGATTAGTTAGAACATAAAAACAGCCATACTGGGTCAGACCAAAGGCCCATCTAGCTCAGTATCGTGTCTTCTGGCAGTGGCCAACACCAAGTATTTCAGAGGGAATGAACAGAACAGGTAATCATAAAGTGATCCATCCCCTGTTGCCTGTTTAGTTTAGCTATACACAACACTTAGTATGCTAGTTACATTGCTGCACAGAATTTACTTTTGTGTTGAATAAGGTATAAAACTGCTTTTAAACAAAAAGATAAAACTATGGAAACTTACTTTCCTCTTGTAACAGATAGAGCAACTGGTCCAGAACCCTTCTGTGGTGTAAACTCTGAAATATAAGTGGCATCATCTATTTGTGATTCTTCCATTTGGTCAATTAGTTCAACATGTCCCTTTAAAAGAAATGAACAAGTAAATTTGAAAATTAGAATATATTTGAACATTTCTAGGGATGTAAATGTAAGGCTCTAGTTTTAAAACAAAACAAACAAAACCCACTTACTGCTTTCTCCATAATGAATATCATACTGTTTCCATTCCAAAAACTTTCTAAGGGACTTCTGCAACCCTCGCCAATCAAATGTACTTGGACATCAGCCTGGAAAAGGAAAAGAAAAATGTTGTTAATGTATTGCATTTACATGTTGTGTTTAGAAGACATTTTTGTGATAAAGATTTCAAAATCAACTAATTACACAACAAACTATTTTCTACTATCATTTCAACCATTCATTAATAATCCATGCCTTTCTCACCTCAAGATAAGACAGCTGCAATGTACTCTACATGGAGCTAAACGTTATCAACTGAGAAATTTAAGATGATGCACAATGTTGCAAGCCACTTAATAACAGCATATCATGAATCACAGCTCTGGAATCTGTACTGGCTGCCTATTGCTTTCCGGGGGAAATGTATGGTTTAAGTTGACCTATTAAACCCCGAATAGCTTAGGACCTAAGAGATTGCCATCTTCCCATGCCATACTGTTGCAGCTGCAGTCAGTGGAGGTACTCAAGCTGTAGTCCCCTTGGTATAAAAGAGAGGGTGAGTTTCTCATGACAGTTTCTCCATAAGGGGTTCTAAACTTTGGAATTCACTCCCTAAGCTGGTGCCAAATAGCCCAACTCTGTTGCTTTCAAGGCTGCGCAGCTCTTTACTCAGGCGTTTGAATATGAAAAGAAAAGGAGTGCAATAAAGGTACGGGTGGATTTGTCATTTCTATTCAGCTATTTATTTTCTAGCTTTGGAAAAGCTGTTTTTAAATGTTACTCATTTTTTAAATTATGCCAATTTGCCTAGATCCCAAGATTAGATGCTTCTCTTCTACACACTCCTGTTTGTTATAAATTTAAAAATAAATAATGACCTTTGAGATAGCTTTAGAAATTTTTCAAACCATTTTAAGCTTAAAGAGCTATTTTTAAATAAAAGAAACAAAATGTATTTACCTCAAAGGGAAATGGGTCTTTGGGGATACCTTCATTATATACTCTGAAATAAAACAAAATAGTCACTTAGTTTATTTTTTCTTATTTCCCCTCCCCAAATGGCATTTGTCTCTAAAAACTAGAAAGAAAATGAGCCTCGGATCTTAGTTTAATATATGGCACACTACTAACTCCAAATAAAACTACATTTACACTACATTAATTATCTATTTCAAATCTAGTTAATTTTATAAACTTTAGAAAAATAAAAAGTTTCAAGTTCAACATCTGCCGGAGTCTCCCTATCCACACCCCCGCCCCCTGACCACCACCCCGAACTCCCCTGCCCTCTATCCAACCTCCCCATGCTCCCTGCCCCCTTACCGCATTGCCTGGAGTGCCGGTGGCTGGCGGTGCGGCTGTGGCTGGAGCCAGCCACGCCACCACGCAGCACAGAGCATCGGATCAGGCCGCGGCTCTGCAGCTGCACTGCCCGCCTGCCCAGAGCATTGTGCCGGTGGTGCGCTGAGCCTGCGGGGGAAGGGGAACAGCGGGGGAGGGGCCGGGGGCTAGCCTCCCGGGCCAGAAGCTATGGGGTCGGCCAGGAGGGTCCCGCAGGCCGGATGTGGCCCACGGGCCATAGTTTGCCCACCTCTGGTCTAATCAGACAAACTCAAACACCCTTGCCCCACACCCCTGCCCCTTCTCCGAGGCCCCCCCCATTCACTCCAGCCCCCCTCCCTCAGTCGCTCGTTCATTCTCCCCCCCCCTCACTTTCACTGGGTTGGGGCCAAAGGGTTTAGAGCATGGGAGGGGGCTCCGGGCTGAGCCCGGGGCAGGGGTGCAGGAGGGGGCTCAGGGCTGGAGCAGGAGGTTGGGATGCAGGAGAGGGTTCAGGTGCAGGTTCTGGGAAGGAGTTTAGGTGTGGGAGGGGGCTCAGGTGCGGGCTCTGGGAGGGAGTTTGGGTGTAGGAGGGGGCTCAGGGCTGGGCCAGGAGGTTGGGATGTGGGAGGGGGTGCAGGCTCTGGGAGGGAGTTTGGGTACAGAAGGGGGTTGGGGTGTAGGAGGGGGCTCAGGTGAGGGCTCTGGGAGGGAGTTTGGGTGCAAGCTGGGGCAGGGGGTTGGGGTGCAAGAGGGGGCTCAGGATGCAGCGTCTGGCCAGGCAGCACTTACCTCAGGTGGCTCCCGGAAACAGCAGCATGTCCAACAGCAGCTCTTAGGCTTACGGGCGGCTCTCCATGCTGCCCCTGCCTGCAAGCACCGTCCTCGCAGCTCCCATTGGCTGTGGTACCCTGTTCCCGGCCAATGGGAGCTGCGGAGTTGGCGCTCAGGGTGGGGGCAGCACGCAAAGATCCCCCTGGCCACACCTCCTCCTAAGAGCCGTTGCCGGACATGTCGCCGCTTCCAGGGGCGGCATGGAGCCAGAGTAGGTAGGGAGCCTGCCTTAGTCCCACTGCGCCGCCAGACTTTTAGTGACCTAAAATCTCCCAGATTGGCTTCAGTAGCCTCCGGAGATCGAGCCCAATTCTGGGAGACTCCTGGCCAAACCAGGAGAGTTAGCAACCCTACAGCTGTGCCACTGTAATGCCACCGTGTAGACACTTCCTTCTTGAACAGAAAGGGCTTTTTCGTCGATGTAGTTAAACAACCTCTCCAAGAGGCAGTAGCAAGGTCCGTGGAAGAATCCTTCCGTCAACCAAGCCACATCTATACTGGGTGTTAAGTCGATATAATAGACACCCTGAGAGCTAGGGGCTATGAGGTTCAAACTCATGCACTGATCATCAGAGCCCTGGGTGCATGGGACTCCGGTAATAAGCCAGTGCAGAGAGAACGTGGCATCGGTCAACGCTATGCTCAGCTGATGCGGCAACTCATGGTGTTGGACGCCATCAGGCAGTCGAGGAACATCTACATAGAACACATCACCGGACCTCGACAATACCAGGAGGGATAAGCTGGAGTGCTGATGAGAAGCACAGTCGGGAAAGTAACTGAAATACTTTCCTGATGGACTGTTTTTTTTCTAAATGGACAACCTACCCTAAATTCTCAATTACTGAGGGACAATCTTCACTCATTGATATATTTTGCTTTCCGCCACCAACTCTCTGTATAACTTTTTTCCATGACTAATGTACCCGAATACTTAGATGCTAAATCTCTAAACTATATTCTTAAATTCATTCACCTAAATTTGGGTGATTGCTGCTTATGCACTACATGTGTCTTATGACTAAACCCAAACCCTGAATTTGTGGATATTCTAAACACTATACCCAGATGTACAAACACTCTTTCCTCAACCTGTATACTATATAATTTTAACATTCGCTTTCATAAAATGTTTAAATATGGCACTGAGGGCGTGAAATTTTTCACACCCTTGAGCGACCTAGTGAGGTCAGTCTGATTTTTAAGTGTAGACCAGGTAGAAACAGAGGCAAACTCTGACGCACTTACAGTGGGGTAGGGGCAGGGCCGGTGCAAGGAAGTTTCGCACCCTAGAGGAAACTTCCACCTTGCGCTCCCCCCCCCAGTCCTGCGGCAGCTCCCCGCCCCCTCCCCGACCCTGAGGCGCCCCCCGTGGCAGCCCCCCCCGCCCCGGGAGCCGTGCGGCAGTTCCCCACCCCAGCCCCACCCCCCCGCGCCCCCCCCCCCGGCCCGCCGCCCCC